AAAAAGTCTACTTCTATGTGTTTATGTACTTGAGCCCTGTAGGTGCTGTTTGTCATTCTGTTGCTTGAAGGCTGTGTGTGTTCTTAGCAAATTTAAACTAATTAGAACAGTTTGGAATATGACTCTGCTTAATTAAGGAAGTTATTTTTACTTCATTTCTTACCTGACTTATCTGATTGCATTTCTATAGACACATCTAGTTCCTGTTTCCCTTCCCACACCTTTTTTTAGTTTCTTCCCCCTTTCTTCTCCATTGTTATCAGATTCTTGATTTACTGTACAGTAGCCAATATCCATAAGAATATAATTTTATCTTCACAGCAGTCAACACACAGTGAGTTGTGTTGATTTGAGTTGCTTCAGAACTGGTTAGTGCCTTTGTTCGTAAACCTGATTAAATAAAGCAAAATATGTTGTGTTCTTACTAAGATTATCTTTTATTCCTACACAGACCTGGAATAGAACATTGATAAAAAATGTGGATGTGTTGCAGAAGAAAGCACAAGTGTTCTATATAGATTATGGATATGAAGAAAATATTCCACTTTCGTGGATTAAAGCTCTACACAATGACATTGAACTGTTGCTTCCTCCATGTGTGAGTTCTATTTTCCTAACAGCAGCTGAGATATTTTAAATGAATAGTTCTGAAATTAGTGTAACTTGTGTCTCAGTGTAACTGTCATTATCACAGTATTCTGTGTTCAGTGAAAGTGATGCATAAAAACTGCTATGTTACACTAAGTTCACCTTCTGAAATGTTTCCTAGTTCTTTCATAGGAATGAGGATGGCTGCTTGGCTTTTTTCTTCCTAATCTCAGAATTCTTGGGTTCTGAGATGATTTTAAAAAAACCAAACAAAACCAAACACAAAACAAACAAACAGACCCCCAAAATCACAAAAAAATACCCCAACCAAAACCTGCAGGGTGGTTAGGTCTGCATGTCCCTTATACACTAGAAGACAGCAGGGGAAACATTCCCCCTGCATACTTTAATCTGTTCTCATGGAGTAGTGAGAAATTGCTTGTAGTTCGGGCAAATTTTGGAGTAAAGACAGCTGTTGGTCTGAGTTCATTGTCAGACTATGTGAACGTCTTCCCTTTCAAAATAGATGGTCTAGCTTTAATCTGTGAGTTAAACTAGTATGCTTACCTATGCACAAAGAAGAATAGAGAAGCATTCTTTGAACCCAGGGCAACTATGACTAGCTGCTATTGGAATAGTCTTTCCATAGCTTGTTGACTCTCTGCTGGGTCCATACAAGATTTTGAGAGCTGGCTGAATCTTGACTTAAAGCCCGCAGTGTCTGCTGAGCACAAGTTAGACATGCACCTGTGGTCAGATGTTATGTGTGATACAACCAGGCCTTAAATAAGACAGCATAAGTAGTGGGAGAATCAGAGGAAATGTAGTTCACAGTTTGAAGCTAATTTCCTAATTCTTAACTGTCTTGTGAAGAAGTTAGTTGAATTGATAGCACTTCAAATTCCAACAGCAGCTTTAACTTTTATATGCAAGATAGTATTTCTGAGGGCCTTAATTGTTTACTCACTCTTTCTACAGAGCAAACAACCCCCTATCCCCTCTTGTTCTAATTATAATTCTTTCTAGGCCATTAAGTGTTCCTTTGCTAATTATGATCCAAAACAAAAAGGATGGAATGGAGGCATCACCAGCTTTTCTTCCCAGCTCATGGGAAAGCACTGTTCAGTAACTGTTGTTGACATACTACAGGAGGAAATGATGTTGAATTTTGCTGTAGATGTTGTTCTTCCAGATGTTGGTAAGTACTTGGTAGTGTGTGTGGGGGGGGAAAATCCAAACACAATTTGTAAGTCTTTCATGTGCACTTTCCTCCCCCCTGCTGATATTTTTAAAAGAGGTACTTTTTTTTTTGCTCTCATCCCTCTTGTGACTCTCCCAACCTGCCCCTTGTTTTTTTTTTTTGTTTAATTTTCTTTTACTTTCCACATAGAGGTCATTTGAAAATGTCTGTACCTGAAATACCTTGTTATGCTTTATAACCTTAAATTTTAGTAAGGTTACTTTTCCAGTTGAATTGTTATAAATTCTGCATTTTCTAGATTATCTTATTTTTGTTTTAATAGATGCATGCGAATTTGGGGTCACGTTGTTCCTTTTATTTCGTACATTTTTAACTCTGTAAAAATGATAGCATCAATTTCTAGTTCTGCTAAGGATTTAAGCAGCTTTTGTTATATTTCATACCTGCTCACTAAAAAAAAATCCCAAAGAAAGCGCAACTACTGGATATTGTTGTATCTAGTCGGAGAACTCCAGGCATGTTTACATTTCTAACTTGGCAAGCCTCAGAAGATAGAGACAAGCAGAGTACCTGAGCTTTGAGGAGTCTGAATTCTGATTTTCAGTTGAGCTGAGGGGGGTAGCTTTGATTGTGGAACCAGATCAATACACAGAAGGTGTGCCTGTTGTCATTACTGGAAGGGCTATTTTGTTTGGATTTTTTTTCTGGCTGCAGAGCAAGAACAATATAGTGCTAAGAGCGTAGTATTTTCATTGGTATGCAGCCCATAGAAACTTTGAAGGAAGTGATGGGTAATCCTTTTAGCTTGCTAGATAGAATTCCTTGTGTAGGAAGCCTATTTCCATGTCATAGTCCCTGCAGTCTATAAAGTTATGGTTCAGCTTAGTCCTGTGTAAAAGCAACTGATTCAGGATTGTGCTTGGCATATGTCATATTTGGTTGCTTTACAGCAAAACAATATAACTTGCCAACCTCTTGGAGAGAAGATTGCAAAAATATCACTGCATTCATGAAATGTTGCATGCATTCAGGTTTTCAGTTGAAAATAATCATATTGAAAGCTTGGAATGCTGCTTCATGCATTGGAAAAGGAATATGTCAAGACTTCTTTGTAAATCTTGGTATCTCATTGCATACTCAGTGTTGTAAATATGGAAGTAAGTTATAATTCCTTGTGTCTGAAAAGCTGTAATCAGTTTTTTAGCTAGCAGTCTTCAGTGACTAGGAGTAAATGTTGATTGTTACTGCTTTGTTTTATTTAGTCTAAGAATCTTGGAGCTGTGAATGTCTTCAGAAAAACTCAAGTAATTGAGTTACTCTGAAACTACTTTTGTATTGCTTTCTAAGTATATTAAGTGCTCAACAAGAGCAGAAGTAGAACATACCTTGTGATAAGGATATAGGTCAGGCTCAGAAGATGGTTCTGAAGTGAAACTAAATTAGTAATAATTTGTACAGCAAATAACTTTCTTACATCTGTATTTTAGGAGACTGCCTAGGTAAAGTACCTTTAGAAATGAGGTATGATTTAAGTCCAGGGAGTAATGTCAAAGGAGGGGACTCTCCAAGAGGTAAGAAAGCAAATCAAACCTCTTACTAGAGACAAAAAGACTTGGGGAATTTTTGGTCCTCCTGTGTTGTATGAATGTAGTAGATACTCTAGCTGTTCACTACCATCACCTCCTACTTAAAAACACTGGCCAGTGAAGGTTCCTTCAGTTCACTAGTGACAGCAGCACATGTGCTTTTTAATAGTAAAAAGTATTTGTTTAGTGATGATTATGTGAGCATTAATTTCATGGATAATATGACAGTAGCCTTCAAAGTCCAAGGAGTCAGCAAAAAAGAATAAACTGCTTCAGCATATTTAAATTTTGTAGTTTAATTTAGCACAATTTTTAGGTCTCTGAATCCTGGCTGATGAGGTTGCACTTTTCAAAGTCGTCTAGCTTTTGATCAGTAACTTTTTTTATGTACAGTGTCAGAAAACCATTCTAAGGGAAGTAAAGAAAAAATACCTGAAGATGAAGAAAAATCTCTTCAGTGTGGTAATTTGGTTGCAGAGTGTGTCTCTGTATGTATCGGAGATGCGTTTTCTGGAGTGGTCACCTGTGTTCAAGATCCAGAAACCTTCTTCTGTCAGCAGATAAACAGTGCCCGTAAGTGATGCATTGAAAATGGGATGTAAGGTACCTAGTATGGCATTCTTCTCTTCAGTAGAGAGTGGCTGGAGGGAGGTGTTCCTGGTCTTGTAGTCTAACCTGAAATGGTGACTCCCTGTAGCTTTAGGCTGTGCCTCAGTCCGTTAAGAGCCATGGTGGTGTAGAGGATATTGTTGGCAGCATTAGCTTTTAATATTGCTTTATTAACCTGTAAGGTGATAATTTGTGGGGAGTCTGAGTAGCGCAAAGGAGAAGGATGGTGCAGCATGGATTTTAGCAGTCTGAAGTAAATTTGTATCACAAATATTTAGTGTTAAATATGTTCTCTCACATGTTGCATAAATGCACATGAGTTTCTGATGACTTTATTTCTATAATGCCTTGTTGCTTTACCTCTGGAGGGAAGGGTTTCCTTATAGGCTGGGTTTGTGGACTGAACTTCTTTGTTACATAGTATGGCGAGAATATCCGAGTATGAGAAGGCCAAGTAATAGTGCCCAACCCTGCTTTGGTGTCTTCTGATAAAGTAAAATGTAACACCTGAGTAACACTAGAGTCAGAGTGTTAGGCTGCAGGGGTTTTTGGTGCATCTCCCACTGTGCCCGTAAACAGTTATCTGGGGGAGAATAAGAGCCGAGTAGGTTTGCGGGATGCATCCTCCTAGTGCTGGGAGAGCCAGCATTTGTTTTTTTCAGCTAAATGGGGTTTTGCAGCTGATGTCATCTGATGCATCTCCTAACCCTCAAAAGAAGGTTTCTAGGTGCTTATGCAGCCTTTCAATTCTAGGTAGACTCATAGCATCGTGTGTCCTTCGGCAAGAAATGACAGTTGTCATCTGCCTGTTTGAACAGGTCTCTTCCTTACTTTCTAGTTGCCTCCACTAGCTTGGTTTCAATTCCTACTGGCTTTGGTTTTGTTCCTGCATTGAAAAAGTCAGCATCTGATTTTCCCTGTCTGTTCTCTTTACCACTGTGATTTCTCTGATTCATGTGAGGATTCTCTTCTGTCTTACAGATTGAAGAGTCCTAGTCTCATCACTGTTTTGGTATTATGTTAAACATTATGTGAAATAATCTCCATTGTACTACAAGATGTTCTTCCATGCTTTGAACTTAAGATTTATGTACTTTTGTAATAATGACAAGACAGTATTCCAAAACCTATATATTTTAATATCAGGTCAACTTGCTGAGCTTCAAGTGTCTCTTAATGAACACTGTGACAAATCTCCCAGTAGTCCAGCTTTCCATCCTGCTGCTGGAGATGTGTGTTGTGCCCAGTTCACAGGTAAAAATGGAGTGAAATTATGGCTCTTAATTTATGTCACTTTAATTTGTTACAAAAATAAACTCATTTTATAATTACATTTAGAAATGTTTCATATAGGGTTTTTTATTTGTGTCTGGTTTTAGCTCTGGAAACATTTGGTATTGATTTTAAAAAATTAATAGCAAATGATGACATCCATAAAATACTAGTTTAAAAAAAGACCGTAAAATGGTCCCTTCATTGAGAAAACTCTTAGCACTAGGTTCATTTTTGTATAAAGATTTTTAAGAGACCATGAAGAAATCTGTATTTTTATATGTTGGTGAGCACTATTTCTGTGGCTGGAAATAAATATAGACTTGGAATTTTAGACCCCAAAAAGGGACAGAAGAAATGGCATTATATGTAATGATACTGCTCTGATAGACTTATCAAAATGTTATTTAGCCAAGACCTGATAGTCCTGAATTGTATGTTAATAACTTAGTTTCCACCTGTCAATTATCACTGATGTCAAATTTCTACAAGTCTCCTGACAAAATTGAATCTTGCCTAAACGTAGCCTAGTATTCTGCATAAAACAATGTTTTGTGCTAGGAATTGATAAGTCTCTATGAAAGAAATACCTTTTATTTATTAGAATCTGAAGTCCTGTTTACCTAAGTGCAGCAGGGTAAAGATTGATCTCTTTCCTCACAGATCATTCTCCTTTTCATCCAGCTTTTAACAAGAAAAAAACTCCACGCATTGCTGTTCTTGTGCCTTTTTTTCTGGTCAGAAATGTTGCTGCTATAACTTCTTTATGTGGTTGATAAACATTCTTGGTCACTTATTTCTTTCCATTTCCTGTGGTTTTGCTGCTTTGAATAAATTAGCTGTGGGACTGAACAGATAATCTGAAATAAATGCTTTTTTGCACACTCAGAAAAAGCTAGTACTGCCAATAAGCTGGCTTGGCATTTGAATGGGCACTGGTTTTGGGTGCCTAGCTAGGGAAAGCTATCAGTTCAGTACTGAACAAGCTGAATGTCTTGATAAACTTGTGTAAGCTTGTATTTCTGTTTCTCAGATATTTTAATTGAATCAAAATACTTAAATTATTAGATCTTTTGTGTCGCCTTTGAATTGCATGTGATTGTGGTCAGCTGAAATACGGTTTGCTAAATCCACAAAATGTAGTCAATTCTTTGTTGCAATATGTATTGGGGACAGAGGGAAATGTCTTTATGGAAAGAATGAGTTTGCAACACTCAACTCATATGAGAGGTGATGATGGTAGATTTTGCATCCATAAGGGTTTTGTGAAAGTTTGTGTGAACTGTAATGCTGCTGTTTTATGTTGAAATTGACATTGTATTTTTATATCGGTATGCCCAAAAAATAATTCTGTTCTCAGAAGTTAAAAGAAAGTACAATGAACATCTGTGTGTTCCTTTCTAGAAGACAACCTTTGGTATCGTGCTGCTGTTATATCATATGCTTCTGAAGATACTGTTGTGGCAGGCTATATAGATTATGGTAATGTTGAAGTTCTTCCGCTGACTAGACTTCATCCTATGATTCCAAGATTAACTGACTTGCCAGCCCAAGCCATAAGATGTGCCTTGGCAGGTATGAAGTAAATGATAAGCTGTTTCAAACTGTGTAGAGGCAAAGTAAGTGGGGTTAGATAACAATTACATCTTTATTTTATGTTGAGATATGAGGAAGGGTGGAGGTAACCGTAAGCGTAATTTCCAGATTTGTTAATTGTTGTGGCATATCTACAAAATGTAACACATCTTTCCTAGTGTACTGGTGACCTGCAGTTGTATGTTTAGTATTAACAGACCTGTTAGGTTTTGCATATGCTTTTGTTCTAAGCAAAATTCAGTCACATACTGGATTTGTGGAATTCTGAAATCTGTTGCAGTTCTAACACTGCAGGGGAAGGCGAAGTTTCCTTCTAAAGTTCAGAACTGTATCTGTCCCCCATCCCTGGAGCAAACCTAGTGAAACTTCGGGTAGACTCCTCTTCATAGGCTTGTGAAATCTGTCAAGTTGGAAAGGACTTTGATGGTTCCTAGTTCGTCCTTCTGTCTCAAGCCAGGATCATAATCTGTTGTTTTTGATGTGCTTGTTTAACCTGCTGTTGGAAATTGTTTATATTTTCTGTTTGTTCCCATCACTGTGCAAGATAGTAACCCCTTTGGTTCAGTGCCCTTCCTTTACAATACTTGATGTCTATCCTTCCTTTACGATACTTGATATTTAACCTGCTTTTCAATTTTTTTGGCAAAGGTCAGAGCAGCATTCTATCTTTGTACTTTGGAGGAAAACATAAAACAATGCTTCCCTTGTATGTAGAGATGGAACCAATGCATATGGAATGTGACCTAGAGAAATCTATTTCTGGGGCAAATCATGATACCTATAGCTGCTAATGAGTGTTCTTGGACTAACAAAGGTTTTAAACAAAACATGGACACAAAATGATCAGATAAGATGTTTCCTGATTAGAGTCAAGGATTGCTGCTTCACAAAATATATCTTTCTGGAAGATACCTTCTGCCAATCTGTTACTATTAAGTTATGGCTATAACTTGCATTTTAGAAATAAATCTAGTAGCACAAATAGTAGGCATTTAAGGAGGAAGAAGCTTGTAGTAGCACATATATTAGCTGAGAGCTGGTTAATGTTGTACAAAAATATAGATTGTATTAATGACACCCAAAGAATTTCACACTCAGAATGGATTAAAGAATGGAATTTCACACTAAGAAGGTATTAAATCTGAATTTATGCTTCTTTTTGTGTAAGAGACTAGTTGTACATGTTCTGTGCAGATCTTTGTTAAATCCAAGTTCTACAAAAGTTCAGAAACTAAATAATTGTGTTTGGAGTCTTGTTAAAAGTGTGAGGAACGGAGGTGAGTTACTTGGTGTATCTGCTACTTAATGTATTGTTTTGAGCAGTGGTGTTGTACCTTTCCACATACTGTTGAGACTTGGATTGTCCTCAAAACCTTTCTATATTATGTGACTTTTTAGGTGTAAAGCCACCATTAGGAGCCTGGACCTCAAAAGCTATTTCTTTCATGAAACAACTGGTGAAAGACAAAGTGTTCACAGTAAAAGTAGTGGATAAAGATAGCTGTAGATCTATGGTGGAGCTTGTAGATGCATCAGTTACACCAGTAATAAATATATCGAGCCTTCTCATAGAGAAAGGCTGTGCAGCTGAGGAGTCAAGGATGGCCCTACCAGCAATCAGAATGAGTGATGTCAAGCAAGCAAATGGTGAGTAAGAGCAAAAAAAATCCTACTACTGTAGGTACAAAGAATGCAAGTTCTTAACTCTAAGAACTTTCCAGTCTGGCTCATGAACTCAACCTTCACTGCTCTGTTTAGCCATGGCAACTTTGCCATGAAGAAATTGTGTGTTTGCTTGTGTGTCTGTATGGGTATATATATGTGTGTGTGCATCCATAACAAAGTTGCAATTGCTTACTTTTGGAAGATGATACTAGTATTACACTTTCTCTGGCTAGAAGTCTTACATCCCACTTCAGCTGGAAACTGTGACTAGTTAGTACCTGCTTGTCTTATGCCCTTGTCCTCTAGCTCAAATAGTACTTCCTTCTTCATTGTCCTATATTTTACACATAAACCCACATATTTAGTCCTTGAAAATTTGTTTGACTGCAGTAGCCTGTACCACTTCAGGGCTATGCCTAAAGGGCCTTTTTTCATTAAGTGACCAAAGCTTCAATGTGAAAGACTTGTGAATTTTATGTCAGATTTCTGTGTATTGTGGGAAGATTCCTAGCTTCTCTCATATAAAGCATGCTAAGCAACTCTTTTCCATCCTTTGGTAAAACTGTATCTTTTTGAGCCATTTGTTGGGTTTTTTTTTGGTCAATCTTTCTTCCTTCTGGAGTGGAAAATTCAACCAGCTTCTACTACTTTGAGCTTATTCTTCAAAATATGCAGACTCTGCTTTGTCACTTCCAGTAGGTATGTGGCAGTTGCTTACACTGTGAAGGGCAGCCTTAATGCATGAAGCAACTGGCACTTTTTTTTTTTACTTGCTTTTATTCTGCAAAGAGACTGTCACTGAGAATTAGTTTGTTGGATTATTTATAACATGAAATTCAAGGACACAAATGAGTGTTCAGGATTTGTAAATTTTTTTCCTGTAAAACTTATTTTAATTTCTCTTCCTTCCTCTAAGTTTCTCTTCTCTTCTCTTTCCTCTCTAGTTTCCTCTCTAGAGGATGCAACAAACAAAAGAATTTGCAAGTGGAGTAAATTAACTCTTGAACAAACTGTAGATGTTCTAGTGTGTGTGCTGTACAGTCCTGGAGAATTCTACTGCCAGATTTCAAATAACAGTGGTAAGTTTATTCAGCTTTTTTCTTTCTGCTAGTTTCTTTGCTTCCTGATTTGCCCTTTATTATCATTTTCATGTGCTAATGTTTCAAGTGAGCTTATAGCACCAAGGCTTACCTCTGAGCTTTTTGTATCTAAGAGTACCAGTAGAATGATGAAGAAATTGGATGATGGTACGTAAAGATTCTGAGATTGAAAACTGAAAATTTTGAAGGTAAGCAGTTGAGTAACATTTAATCTAAGAATGTAGAGAAAAGTGATAAGAGCTACCGTAACCTAGGCAAAGGATACCTAAACAGAAGATAGCAAGTAAAAGAACTGTTTGCTGGGACCATACAATGTTTACTGGAGCTCTCTTCTGGTACTCCTTACTGTTCCAATTTATAAAAACTTAAAAAGATTCAAAAGAGATAAAATAACATGAAAATGAGAAACCAGAGTTTTTGAGAGTTGACTTGCTCTTGGATAAGCTCAAAAAAGATCTCGTTCTTCTATCTGAATGTATGAAGACTTCTGGTAACCACTGTCTTTTTAACCTACTAGAAAGAGCATGATGAAATTCAGTGGCTGGAAGTGGAAGCTAACTGCATTCAAACTGAAAATATAGGGCAGATCTTAAAAAGTGAGGGAAGTTTTATTCCTTGACTTATCTAGGGATAGTACAGATTTTTCATAGCTTATTGCCTTTAAAACATGACTGAATTCTTCCCTAAAAATTATATTATAGAACAGGCTAAAGGACTTAATCTAAAAAAATAAATAAGCTAGCAGGATGAGATCCATCATCATTCATTATATGCAATGGCTGAACTAGATAATTTCCATGGTGTTATCTGGCTGTAAAATGCACTTTAGATTTTGGAGTGGAGAGTGCTTGTTGGATTAGTAGGAAGAATTACTGGTCATTTTGCTATCATACTGAACTAATCTGTCAGCAAATATCAGCCGTTTTGCCTCTTCCTGCTAATAAGTCTGTATAGTAAGTTAAATAGTTCACTCACAGTCGTCAGTTCTTTTTTTAAATGAAATTCCAAAATTCACAAAAATCTCCCATGAAATTTTTTATAAGTAAGCTATGTAGTGAACAGTATTGATAAAGTTCAAGTCAGCTTATTTCATTAATCTCTTTTCTTTCTAATTTTCAGAGTTAGTTGCTCTAAACTTACTTAACAAATCATTGTCTGAATACTGTCAGAAAACTCCACCAAATGCTTTTAAACCCAAGAATGGAGAACCTTGCTGTGCTTTTTTCTCTGGTAAGTAACAGACTGAAATATTTTTAAATGGTGAACATAAAGGAGAAAAATAAAATTGTGTATCTGATAGTCTGCATTGGTAAAGGATAGAAAAGAATTGGATTTATTTACTAAAAAATAAATGCTGGTAAACTTCCTAAACATGTGAAGTAATTTTTTTTTTAAATTTTTAAAATTAGATGATGGCAATTGGTACCGTGCTTTGGTGCAAGATGTTACCTCACATGGAACTGTTAAAGTATGCTTTGTGGACTATGGAAATGTTGAGGAAGTACCACTGGATAAAATACGGCACATCTCATCCTCATTCCTAAAACTTCCATTCCAAGGAATTAAATGCTGGCTCTCAGGTGGGTCTTCTTACTGATTCTTTCTCTTCTAAGCACTATTGCATTTAGAGACTTGCTGCTTTGAGGGAAGGAGGTGATGACAGGATGTACTTCACAGAGCTCTGTTGTTTGGGGTTTTTGTTGTTGTTTTTGTGGGTGTGTTTTGTTTTAGGGTTTTTTTTTTAAATAATAAACTTCTGTTTTAAACATCTGGAAATTGTGGCATTTAACAGAATGTGGCTCTTCCCTGACCTCCTGACAGTGTTGTAGAATGATCTGCATGGAGGTTACTTACTGATTTACCAGTCAAAGGGAAGTTGTTTAGTTCTGCTTCATCTGTAGTGCTTACTAGCTATTGGTTGCTGCCTTGCTAGGAGTAAATATGCTTTTGTGCAGCTTAATTATTTCTCTAAATTTTTGCAGGCAAAGGAGGTCATCTGTTTTTATGAAGCAAGCTGGCCTTTCAGTTCTCTGTAGGGATGTTTCATTTGATTCCTGCAGTTTGGCACCATGCTGCTTTTTCTCAGTCTTCTACCAATTCTCTGTGTCTTCCATTTCCACACCAAATCACTCCAAATTCTGCAGAATTATTCTTTCTTTCTAATGTAGTCTGCTTGGTTTAAAAATAAAAAATGTGGAAATGGGGAAAAAATTCAAAAACACTCACACTTTTTCTGCTACTTTGATAAAAGGGGTGTATTAAACTGATTCATAAACAGGCTTAACAGTGTTGTTTGTGCTAAGGCACAAGGATTTACCTGGTAGAATATCATAAAATGTAGAAAACAAAGCTTGGGAGTCCTGAGGAAATGTATTCTTTTAGCAGAAAGGAGGAAGAGGGAGACCAGTTAATAGGATGAAGTACAATGTGTGTCTCCAAGGTAGTAAAAGTAGCCTTGGTATTTCAAATTGTGCTTTATAAAAAGAAAAAAGGAATTCCTTTAAGGAAAATATAATGTTGAAGAAAGTCACTTAATGGAGATATTTTGAACAAGTTCTCCTACTTCCTAGGTATAAAGCCTGGTAATAGCCAATGGATTCCAGAAGCTACAGCAAGATTTCATATGTACACTGCAGGGATAAAGCTTCAAGCCAGAGTAACTTCCCTTTCCAAAGAAGGGGCAGGTGTAGAGCTTATTGACAATTCTACAGGTCATCCAAAAGTGATCAATGAGATATTAACTTCTGAAAAATTGGCTGTAAAGGAAGTTCTACAAGATAAAAATAAGTTTCCAAACAAGTCTGTTGACAAAAAAGGTAATTAAATGAATATTAACTTTTAGATTGAACAAGAATTTTCAATATTTCAACCTTTAACCAGGATCTTCCTGTTTAAGTATAGTTAATAATAAACATGCATAGTTTTGATTATATTGTCAGTTTTTACAGTTAAACACAAGCTGCCCTGCAGGTGGCATTATAGACAAAAAGAGAAAGAGATAAAAATCACTCAGTATGCCTTAAATTATTGCTATTTGAATATTGGGTAGTAGAGTGTTACAAATTTGCTATGACTGAAACCTTTCCCACAGCAAATTAAGCGAGAATTATCTTGGTTTAGAGTCTCTTCTTGAAGTGAAGACGTGCAGTTATCGCTAAAATTCAAAAATATATTCTGTAACAGAATACTTATGTATGTGCTTGGAGGAAAGTGGTACACTGCATTTTCTTACTCTTTCTATTAGAAACCTCACTTCGGTGTTGGAAGCCAATTGCATTGGCTATAGGTGAAACCGTATGGGTCTGTGTAACAACAGTTGTAAGCCTAGACTTGTTCTACGCTGTACTAGTTCCAACTAAAGGTAAGAAGAAGTGTTCTCTGTTCCTAATAAACAGTAAGAAGTCACTGCTGCAAGATAGTTTACAAAATGAATGTTTATAGTGAACTGAACCACATGGAAATGTAGCTTGGGCAGTAGAAAAATATAAAAATATAAAATATAAAAATGCCCAAGGTGGGAGCAGAGGAGCTTAAAAGTAAGTGGAGGAGCTTAAAAGCAAGTAAGTATACCCAAATGTGGTTAGTTATCAAGTCTATTCTTTTCTGTAGATCAAGAGAAGCTACAGAAGCTGTTGATTGACCTACAAGGCTATTGTAGATCTCTTAAGAACCGAACCTTCAAACCAAAAGTGGGTGAAGCCTGTTGTGCCAAGTTTTCAGGTGAGGCAATCATTTGTTTGTTCTTACATTTCCTTGACCAGTGTAAACCACAACTTTCATCTATGCTTTAGAAAAAGGAAAACCAGCAACTTTAAAGTGCTTACAGATACCTCGATTCTGTTACAAGATAGCCTGTCTGTATCTTTAGGGCAGAGAAACGATATGACAGTCCAGGAGAGAAAATAAAGAATAGGTTGTGCCCTGAAAATGTATGGAGCTTTAAGAGGAAAGAACAGACAGCTACTGTTTAAACTGAAATGTTTGCTGCCCTGAGTCACAAGGTCATGAAATTCATGACAAAGCAGTAGTGCACGTCTGGTTTGGGGGTGCCTGGGTGTTGTGGTGGTGTTGCTTTGTGTGAGCATGAGGTGGTGACACTGGCTATGACAACTGATCATTCAGCCTTGTTAGCCTAACAAGCTGTCCATGCATAGTGAACTGTTAGTTCAAATCAAAACCATTCTTAACAGTGAGAGGAAATTAATTTTTTAGTTTCGTGTTTGTCAAGAGGGGATACTCTGCTGATATATTAGCTTGATATTTAAAAAATAAAGTAGCCTTGACTCATAAATATTAAATGTTGACTCCATTTGGATTGTTACAGGAGATCTGGCCAAGTGCTGAAAATGAATTTGGGTGGTAGATCAGATAGCAGCTCATGGAAAACAGGGTAGATGAATTAAATACTAGACAAACTACAAGAGTACGCTTGAGTGTTTGACAGTTGTTTTTTAACTTCCTTTTTTTTTTGTTGATGGCTCTTCAGGATAATTGACAAGAGATTATTTTTTTTCTTTTAAATTTTGGTTATGTTTAGAGAAGGACTGTGCATTGGCAAACAAAAGCAAAGAGGTAGAAGTACAGTGTGCAGACGTGCTTAAAACACTATTGTAGTAAAAATCTTATTTGTAAAATTCTGAAAGCAACGCTTAAATCTTTATGAATACAGCAACCAGAAACTATTCCCTTGTTCTGTGGGCTTGCTTCTTGTGAAGTGGCCTTTCGTATATACCAGAGTAAAAATTCCTGGAAAAATACAGATTCTTGTTTTTGGGATAAGCTGTGTTTATAAGATGGTAAACTTCACATGTGATTCTTCTTGTCCCAATCTCTTCAGGTGATGGCCGTTGGTACAGAGCTCTTGTTCTAAATGTTTGTCAGTCTGAAGTGAAAGTACTATATGCAGACTATGGGAACACAGAAACATTGCCAGTTTCAAAGGTGCTGCCAATCACTGATTCCTACTTAAAGCTGCCTTTTCAGACAATTATGTGTTCCCTTGCAGGTAAAAGAACTCAAAAACCCCAGCTCCTATAATCCCTGAACATCATTAGATCTGTATCTATCCTGATAATAGTGTTCATTCCTTAATACTGACAAACAACATGATAACCTGCTGAAATAGTATCCTGGTTAATACTGTGAGAGCAGTTTTAGAAAGTATGTTTCCAGTTAATTATCTGTAGAATCTAAGCTATTTATATTAGCAAAATTTAGCATCATATTTTCAAAAATGGTGATAGCATTATTTGTAAGATTCAAGTCATCATAAAGGAATTCTTCATAGAACAAAATTGATCGTACTGTATTTTTTGCAGGAATTGAGAAAGCTGAGTGGTCTTCTTTATTACTTGACAAGTTCATAGAAACGGTATTGAATCAATGCATCACAATTACAGTGAAAGGGATTAATGGAAATGTTAATTTAGTAATGGTGGAAAAACTTTGTGAAAATGGTAATCTGAATGTAGCTGACAAACTGGTAATGGAAGGTTTGGTCAGCTCCTGCAAGGCTGAAGACTTGCATATTGAACATCAAGGTACTTACTTTAAATTAATTTATTCTTAATTTAACCTTAATTTGAAGAACTCTGGGAATGTGGAATGCATAAGTGATTCTTCTTTCTAAAAATCTTAGAGAATTCTACATAGAATCATGAAATGGTTTGGGTTGGAAAGGACCTTAAAGGTCATTGAGTTCCAACCCCCCTGCCATGGGCAGGGACACCTCCCACTAGATCAGGTTGCTCAAAGCCTCATCCAGCCTGGCCTTGAACACTTCCAGGGATGGGGCATCCAC